CGTGGATGCGGCCGGGATCTCCCGCCCCAGCCGCCCCCCCGGAGCTGGAGCTGCTCCCGGACAAGGTAGGGCCCTGCGTGTGGGGGCGCCCTGCCGCCTCCCCCTTTCTTACATGCCTCCCCCTCCTCGGCCCCCGACCCTCTCTTGGACCCCTTCTCCCGCGCCGTCCCTTCGCCAGTTCCGGCCGGCTCCCGGCGCCTCCGCCGTGGACGCCGCTCCGGGGTGGCTCCGGCCGCCTCCGGGCCTCCGCACCTTGGCACCTTGGCACCCTAGAGGAAAGAGATGGCGAAAGCCCGCTGCGGTTCTGCCGAGCCTCCTGCCCCGTTCCGCACCCGCCCGGCCCGGGCCTGAGCACGAGAGCACGGTCCCCTTCCCGCTGCTCCCCAACTTCCGGGCCCCCCCTCCCAAGCGAGATAGGCTTTGGGAAGGGGTGTCTGCGGGCTCGGCGTCCTCTTCTGGGGCACCCCGGCGTTTGCGGGGGGGTGCGGATCGCGCGGCGTGGGATCGTTGGCGGCGCCCCCGCACCCCACCCTCGCACTGCGCCGGCCTCGGGTGCCGCATGGGGAGATCAGGTGTTCTGCGAGCCCGGGAGCCGCCGGCAGCCTCTCCCCGCCCCCCACCGCGAGCCCGGCCACCCGGGTCCCCAAGACGGCTTCTGCGAAACTTAGGGAGAACCTTCCCCTTTGATCTCTATGATATATGCATACATCCGTGTACACGTATGTACGCATGCACACACGTATGCATGTGTGCTCCGCCGCCCGTGTAGAATGACTACCCCGGCAACTTGCCCGGGACGCCGGGAGGTGGGGGAGCCGGCAGGCCCCGAGCGCCCCGCGGGCTTCGGCAAACCCCTCGCGGGCGGGAAGTGGGCGTGGGGCCGCGCCGCGGGGCTGGCGGCCGCGGACCCTGCCGGAGGCACGGAAGCACCGGCTTGTTTCCCTGGCCCTCAGTGTGTGCACGCGGGGTTGGGAAGCCGCTGAGCGCCCCCGGGGTCTTCCATCAAGGAGGGGAGCCGACCCGAGCCACAGCTCCCAAGTGCCACGCGTGAAAGGTCATCTTTAAAACACGGCATCTTCTAGGTTGGAAAGGATTACCGAACGTAGGGGTGGCTTGTTTGTCTCTGCTCCCTTGCCTCCCCAATGGCCGCCCCAACTCGGCAAACTAATTGTTCAGGACAATTAGAATCCTGTTTTCCTACCCTTCCCTGGTTGGAGCTTTTCAGGTTGTGAAGCCAGTTGGTGACGAGGGGCTCGGCGTGTTCTAACAGATTCTCCCGGGGTAATTACTGTGCCTCGGAAGGTGATGGGGTGGCAGAAGAGGCGACGGCGCGGCCGGGAGGAGGACGTGGAAGGCGGGGACCAACCGGCCCAGCCCAGTCCGGGGCTCTCTGGTGACAGCTGACCCGAGGACTGGCCGAGTGGGGCGGTCACTTTCCTCTTGGTTTTGAATGGAGATTATTGAACCTGGTGGAATCGGGAGTTTTATCCACAATACGAGTACTCTTAAGCCAGATTAGGATTGTCAATCAGACCTGGGCTGGGGCCTGGTGGAACTGCACTGGAGTAATCTGAATAAACCTTCTCTTCCCCCACCCAAGCCTATTCAGGTGTCTTTATAATTTCACCTGCACCCCTCTCCCCCTGCCCCCACCGTGTGGAGCTCCCCGCCCAGCCCAGCTCTTTGTTGTTGTCGTGTGTCGGTAGTGGGGTCTGAACTCTGTCCCTCAACTCTTCAGCTCGAGGCTAGCGCTCTACCACTTGAGCCACAGCAACACTTCCGGCCTTTTCTGTTTATGTGGTGCTGAGGAAATCAAACCCAGGGCCACATGCAGGCAAGGCAAGCATCTACCACCAAGCCATCTTCCCAGCCCCTAATGTGTTATTTTTGGTTCTTGTTTGTTGCTTGTTTTGGTGCTGGTGGCATATGTATGATGAAAGGCCTAATTCTCAATTAAATTTGAGTTTCTTCCCTCACTTCTCACAAGTCTGGATTCTATGACTAGTGTTCACGGACCCTGGGCAAGTTGGTATCTGAGCCTCATTTCCCACATTTGGATTTGGGGACAATAATACCTGCTCTGCAGGATTGTTTTTGAGGACAAAATAGGATGATTGCCCATCATCACCTAGCACTGCCCCAGTGGAGGTAAGAAATGCTAAATGAGGGCTGGTCATGTTTGGGATCCATGTAGAAGTTTCTCCGGGCATCAGCCTCTCCTTGCCAAAATCATGACCCTGTAGGAACTGTTTAGATTTGTGTAGATTCAAAATCAGCTGAATTTGGCAGACGCGGATAGTGGGTTTTTTAAAATTCAAAGAATGAAATTGCATTTGAGGAAAATTAGGTACACTTTGCGTATGGTAAAAATACTGGGAATTGATTTTTTTCTGGCCTGGTGAAGGAGAGTTGGCACATAGATGCCAGACTTTTTTTTAAAATTTTAAGCTCTCACTTGTCTTTCTGTAATTCTAATAAACTATAATTATGCTAAAAATAGAAAAGTGGAACTGATATTTCATGGTTGACTTTTCTCCATACTGTTCGTTTAAATGTATTTTCTTTACCCTTTGAAATTAAATATGTATTATTTTCCTTCTTACTATGAAGGCGATGTACAGCCGGGTTACTGTCTCATAAGTCATGAGTACATTTCTTTTTGGACAGTGTCAACTCTTCCTTCAATCTCTCCTAGTTTTTCTTTCCTTTCCCCGCCCACAAGTTATATATTCATTTTCAACATAGTGTCTAGAGTGCCACTGCTGCCATTTGTTCACCTTTTGTCCCTCCATCTCCCCCCCATCCCTTTACAAAGACAGATAAATGAACAAACAAGATTTAAAAAAAGAGAAAAACAAAAACTTCTTGCTTCTTTTTCCTGAGTTCATTTTGATAACTATTAATATGATTAGAGGTATCGAGGCATTTTGCCTTAGTGTTCCTCCCCTAAGAGTGTCCTAGTTTAAACAACATTAATCCAAAAACATTAATCATTTTACTTTCCATGATGGTATAAAGCAGAGATATTATGGACAGACAGGTGGGAGGGGAGGGGCTTTTTCGGCTGATGGAGGGTTAGGAGAAAAGATAAAGCCTTTGTTTTTCAAAGAAAAAGATTTTTAATGTTTCTTAGTAATTCTAGTGTTTTTTTAAACCATAATTCAGAGACAGATTTGTCCTTGAAGTTCTTTGTCCTTGACACTAATCACTACTTTTATTCTTTCTAGCTAACTTGCTCAATGACTTTTTCTGGTAGAATTATCAGACCGTCTGTTTAAAAGTTACTAAATGCACAGGATTATTTTATAAATACTGAAATCTTGCAACTGGGATAATATTTGATTGTGCAATCAATCCATTGTAACATTTCTGATAGTGGTGCATAAATTACCAGAATAAAATTTCTCTTAATGGCCATTTGGTCTTCTATGTAAATGCTTAAGGGAAACTAAAGTCATTTTCATCAATTACTTGGTGTGTACAAAAGGTTAAAATACTGACGAAACGAGGTTGTGGTCATTTAAAAGCCATATTTCCTGGCTTCATAATGGAAAACACCCTGTGAGGAGGAGAGCACACCCCCAACAGGTGTGGATCCAGCTGTCTTTTTCTCCTTACTCTCAGTTGCCTTAGCTGTTAGGAGGCACTTGCCAAATCGGTCTGTAAATTGTAGGATGAATATAGTCCTCTCTCTGGAGAGGCAATTATTGTTTGCATAAGAGGTGTGTGCGTGTGTGGGATAAGGCTTTGAGAGAATTGATGTAATGATTTCATCATCATCTACTGGTGATAGGGCTTTTCACCCCATACAAAGCCTCAGTGAGAGGAGCTTTTTATTTGATGGAGAAGTTGTTAATGGGCCTCCTTGCTTACTTTGCTGCTGGAAAAAGATAGTTGTACTGAGTTTTCTGTTAAGCTGGATGGCGGTGTCGGCATACTCTGTATGCTTGTCTTCTTGACATGACTTAATTATTATAACACAATTCAACTTCTTAAGAGTTTGAATTGTTGATAAAAGTACAACATATCTTGAAATACTTGTGTTAACTTGAGCTTACCACATTTAAAAAAAATTGCCACAAATAATTTCCTGTGCCCCTCTAAATGTTCCCTTAGAATTAGAGCAGAGTTTAATTTTTTTCATTCTCACTTCAAAGCTGATGTGGCTACAGTGGGGAAATTCCCAGTAGCTGGGAAACTGATACTTTCTACTTTTCATTCTGTGACAGGTTTTAAACCAGGTTTATTATTCAGGTATCTTCACTCTAATATGTTGAGCCTACACATTGCTTACCAGAATGGTGTGTGTGTGTGTGTGTGTGTGTGTGTGTGTGTGTGTGTGTGTGTGTGTGTGTGTGATGGAGTTTGAAATCTGGGCTTGGGCACTTAGCTCTCTACCACTTGAGGCACAGTGCCACTTCCAGTTTTCTGGTGGTTAATTGGAGATGAGTCTCACAGACTTTGCTACCCGGGCTGGCTTTGAATAGTGATCTTCAGATCTCAGTCTCCTGAGTAGCTAGGATTACAGGTATGAGCCACTGGCCTGGCTACCAGAATGTTTTAAAAAATGGAATATCCAAGGTAATCAATGGTAGAGTTGGGTCCAGGCTGTGTCTGTGGTTGGGTGGTGGCTTCAGTGTTTAAGAACATGAATTTGGAATTCATTGGCTGAGGTTGTTATTTATTTATTTATTCATTTTTTGGTCAGTCGTGGGACTTGAACTCTGGGCTTGGGCGCTGTCCCTGCACTCTGCAGCTCAAGGCAAGCGCTCTACCCCTTGAGCCACAGCACCACTTCCAGTTTGCTAGTTGTTCGGGCTGGCTTTGAACTGCGATCCTCAGATCTCAGCCTCCTGAGTAAGCTAGGATTACAGGCGTGAGCCACTGGCACCTGGCTCTGAGGTTGTTATTTTTTTTCCTTTTGAGATAAAGCAAAGAGTTGTGTATGCAAAGGGCACTGATATTCAAGGATGCACTCATATATGTGTTTCTAGCTCCCAGATCAAGTCTGCTACACCAGAAGATTCCTGAGTTCCTCTGTAGTCAATATTACATTGTCACAGAC